CACAGTTTGATCCAGAGAGCATTCAGCAGATGAGGAAGCCCAGGTGGTTCTCGGTCAGTCAATGCTCGGCAATGCCACACTTGTTCCACGAACGATGCTACCATTATCGGCTGACTCAGCTGAAAACAATTCGCGTCAGGAACTGGTTATTACATAGGGGATAAAGAAATGTGAAACGAGCACCTGAAACGGTTCATTGGGCTCCACGTCCTTTGTCACCTTGTGGGGATTCAAAGTTAACAGTCGGCCCGAGACGTTTATAAGCACCGTATCCACACCAGGAAAGAAGGAAGAAGCAGCTGAAGGAAAGGTTATTGCGACTCGAGTGAAGTCCATAGATGTGTTTTCTTGCTAATCCTCTTTCGTGGCTATAGAAGGAGATCACAGAGATGGCTAGACTTACTTGGATCAAGGCTTAGCTGCGTCAGGTGTATAGACACTAAACAAGCCGGATGAGTAACAAGGTCACCCACACGGATCTCAGCGATACGGTCCACAGAAATCTAAAAATAATTCTGGTCTGACTGATCACCGAGAACACAAATTGAAACAGGCAACGTTATTATGTTGTTTACCGACTTGACGTCACAGTCGTCCTAAGGGTTTTGGACGCCCCTTTCCACCGCTCGTTGAGAGCCTGAACCCGTAGTGATAGAAGGAAATTGGTCTGGCGCGCGTCAAACCCACGTCTTGAGACACGCCCCGACTAACCTCAGCGATAACGACGGTATGCAGCACAAAAAGAACTCACTTTTACAATATCACCCGAGCTCTCTTCATTTCTCATCAAACGGTGCATAATTATACGTCCTTCGATGTCAAATGTCACCAGTGCATCGCTTCTTAAAATAAAACACACTTATTTGAACAATCTTCCTTGCGACAATATTCCTATCCTCATCCCTCTTACCAACGTTATTTTTTTTTCGTTGTTTTTTTCACGAAGTGTCGGCTGAATATGGCAACCGTAGCAAAAACTAGGTGCTCACAAAGAATATCTATAGGTTTTTGTTGATAGAGCTAGTCTTTCAAGAAGGCACAGAAGTTTGGCGTTTTTTGCTGCCTGGGGGAAACCCTGCGCGCTTTTTTTGGTTCTCCAGATCGAAATGTATCCAGTGCTTCATGAATTCTTCAAAAATGTAAACTGTGGACACTTCCATAGAAGCGGAAGTCCGCACAGGCTTCTCACCTTAGCGACATCATGATGACACGACATTCCATCTCAAATATGGAAGCAAAACGATTGTCCAGTTTCTTGTTGATAGGATAAAATCGCAGTTGTTCACGACAGGCTTCCAAATCGTAGCAAGCTGCGCCGACTGTGCCTCCCCAAAGCAACACGCCTCCAGTCACCATCAGAGAAGACTCCTGAACAAGGCAGTGGTTTTGCTCATGAATATTCTCTGCAACGAATACTTGATGAAGAGAACATATTTCAACAGTAACATTTCAAGACCTACTTGGTTCTCGTTGCCAAAAATTTTCCATCGAACTCCTGGAAGAGAACAGTGAGCTAATCCTCGTAGTCCAGCAACAACCAGGTGCTTTGCAGATTCCCGATCGATAGCGGCAAACTGTAAAATAACTGAAGTTAGTATCGAAAAAAGAGCCCAAAAGTCAGTGATTTTTAGGAAATTATCAAATTTTTTTAATGTTCTCATTTACACACCTATTTACAGCGGTTTCGAATAACATCACATTTTTTGGGGAAGTATGGAATCACTCAAATATTGCGGTAACGCTTAAGATGGCGTCGCGCGATGACGCGCGAATACGCGCTCCACGCATTTCGACGCGCGCGAAGACGCGCTACCACTGCAGCGAAACCCGTCTCGTCTACCTTCCGTTTGCAATGCAGCGTTGTTATAATGGTGGCGCGTCTGCGCGCGTTATCGCGAAGTCTGAGCGCTGCCTAACGGAAAAACGCTAATGGGTGGAGTGGAGTGCGATAGTTCTAACCATCTAAACTCTAACCACGACTTTGCACAACCTTCGAGTTCTTCGAACCAGCGGATCGATACCTACACCTTCTTATGTGCGATCGCTCCCAATACGCACTTCATCTACATTCGCAAAGTATGAACACCACCCAAAGCGCCTCTGCAGAATATGCGAACAGAAGCCAAAGAGCTTTACGGTAAATTTCGCGAAGATCTCAGAATAACCTGAGAAGAATGCAAGCGATTGTCTCGTTTTCTCGGTGTTCAAAAAGTTTTCCTTCAAACCGTTCTTGTATTTCTTCTAGCCTTTCCAAGATTGAGCAACTTTATTAAAGGCCTTTCGGCGTCTTCGCCTTCGTCAGAGCCTGAAATGGTCAAAAAACATTTCGAGACCTGCTCGCTCAAACATTTCAACAATACTCAAGACGATTTCCACATACCAGTAAATCACCCAACGGTATCGATCTAGGGCGGAACGCTGGCTTACCTTGAATTTAATAAAGCTTGCTCAATCTTGGAAAGGCTAGAAGAAATACAAGAACGGTATACATCATGCCAAGATTGAGTCTTGAGATTAAGTCGAACATGGACTTCCTTCAAACGAATAAAAAGAAAAGACGGCACAGTCCGGCTTGGAGGGGTACCAAACGGTACTTAAAGAAACTTGTGCAGGTCACCTTGTAAGACCTGGAGATTCATGTAACAAGTGGCCCACTCGTTCGATTACCAGCTTGACAAAGTTCACAGGTTTATCTGTTAGTCAACATGAGGTAGCAAAAGGAGCTAGCGAAAGTGCAAAATGCCCCCTGTAAGCCGAACGCAGCCGGAAAGATTTCGTTCTTACCCGTATAGGCCAATTTGAAGCAATGTATTCATGAAGCGGATTGACTGCTGTCCAGACGGCATGCGGTGCACTCGCCACACCTTCTCGTTCCCTATTTGAGCTGATAAGCACTCTAGAGCTGCAGATCAAGACAATGTGATTTGAGTGGTCCTAAAGAGAATAATTACAAGTAATTTCATTGCGTGCAGTGGATGCACGGGTAATTTTTAGGCAGTTTCCATGAAACTAACCATAATGGGATTACACAAAGCAGCAGATCTAGCCATTGGCAGAATGGACAAGCCATCACTTCGTCCTAACCACAAGTGATAACCTTCCGGACCCCAGTCCACAGACGTGTACGACACTGTAGGCGTCCCGTCACTAAACAGGGCTAGTTCTACAGGCATGGTGCGAGAAAACGAGAAAAAAAACAGCAAAAAGCCAGGAGTCCATATTAATACCTACCTATCGATAATCGACTCCAAGGAGCACCATGTCTGCGTTCCAAATGGCGTGAATACGGCAAGTGTTGCTGGAAGAGGGGAAGTACCAGCCTCACCACCATTGCTTGCGGACGTCTTCGACGACCAAACAGCCACAAACGCTCCTCCATTTGTTAGCACCTCTATATCCGAAACGCTACCCACACGATTAACAACATCTGAAAATATCCAGAAGAATTCCATAAAAATTTGTGCTCGGTCAAAGCAAATAATACAGAATATAAACATCT